TTGGGATATCATTTGGCATGTATTATGACCTCACTCTATTTCCTATAAATAGAGCGTCATTTTTCCTTCATTTGGAAGCTTTGAAAGCCACAAAACCTCTTCCATTTTAACTCTGAACAATCTCAAAAACCAGAAACTCTAACTTTGTTTTTAGATTATTTTAACTCCAAATATCTGCCTAGAATCCTTTATCGGTATCATTTGAAGCTACTTGAAGCATTACAGAAGTTCAATACCTTCTTCAACCTTCAACTTAATCTCACCATTTTCAGACCTTCAAAGCTACTTTGAATATGTAGATACGAGTAAAATCTCAATATAAAAGAGTTACCACTCTCTTCGTCTTGATCATCTGATGCTAAGCCCTCACTTGCCTTTGATTTATCTTGCGTATTAGTCATTTAATTTTAATTTGAAGTATCTAGGTTTTATGTGTATTTGAGTAAGTAATCTCTGCTCATAGCAAATCAATTGCTCTGATGCAAAGAGACATGAACAATGACATGAGTAGAAGCTAAACCATATGGTGTTTCAGCTCAAAACTCGTAGTTCTTGGATTTGCAAAAGTGGCTGAAGGTTGAAGGCGACACAGGTCTTCGCGTGCAGTGGTAGGAATTTTTAGTTCTCTGACAAATCAGAAGGCGCCATGCAATTGGCCGTTGGTTTATTTTCATTTTTGTTTTTGTTTTTAGTTCCTTTTAATTTCATTTTATTTCAAAAATCATTTTAAATAGCTCCTTTATTATTTTTTACTCCAATTTTTTCCATAAATCATAAAAAAAAAAAATTTACCACATATGTTCTTTTTCATAATTCTGAAACAATTTTTAGCATTTTTTTTCTATTTTCTCTTTATTTTATTTTCAATTATCTTTAAACAATTAATTTTCCATCATTTTGAAATATTTTTAGTTCAACTTTTAAGATCTTGATCCTTTGGGTTTTTCTGACTTTCTCAAATTTCTATGGCTTTTTATTTGATGTTTTGATGCATCTTTTGGATTTTCTCTTTAATTTCCATTATTAAACCATTTAAAATCATGTTAAATTAACTTTAAATATTATTTTGATTGTTTTTTATGTTTAATGGTTCTGATCTTTGGTTGACTTGGTCAATTTTGGTTTATTGAAGTTTCACTTTGTTTAATTGGACTTTGGATTGGTGCTTGATGAACTTTCTTCATTTCAAACATATCATTAAATGATCATTTGATCATTTTTTATACTTTGGATTGATGATAGATTTGTATCAAGGTATCACGAAAAAGATTGGTTGAAGTAATGACCCAATCCCTTTGCCTTAGTGTTTGATCAATCCTCTATCTCTTTCTTCTTCTTCTTCTTCTTCTTCTTCTTCTTCTTCTTCTTCTTCTTGATTTTGTATTGATTTGTGTTACAAGTTTTAGGAGAATGACTTTGTATCATTTCTCTAACATGTATGACACATAAATTACTATTGACCAGTCTCCCAAAGGTGTTACTTCTACATAAGTCCACTTACGATTGCTTAACATAGCGCTAAATTCTCTTGAATCGGTTGATTAACTTCTAACACTAACATTAATTATATTAATTATACTAACTTTTACTTTATGTACTTTACGTTAATGTTATTTAATTTTATGCCATTTATATTTCAAATCATTTACTCATGTCATCTTTATTTTGGCTTTGTCTTGTGCTCTTATTTTGTTTGTTTGCTTTCAAAAGACCAAAAATATTAATAAATAATCAAAACCTTAAAAAAATTTAATGGTTATCATTTGGACTTTGTGTTACTATCCTATGCTTGGAGACTTTGGACTATTGAACTTAGATCTAAGGTTATCTTCCTATGCTTTGGATTTTTGCATCAGAGACCTTGGAATTCATCTGCACCATTGATTACCAAACTCAATTTTCCTTTTAACTTTGTTTATTTTCATATGGATCATTGGATTTTCATTTGTTCTTGTTTGCTTGTGGCTTAATCTAAAGGGAAAGGAAATGCTAAGTTTGACTAATGTCAAATGCTTATTTCATCCTGGTTAGTTCACTTGCACACTAAGAGGTTTCCTCTTGGGCTATCTTACAATGATACCATTTATTTCTTTTCCTTTACTTTGTGATTTAGGATAGCCTCTTCATCTCCTCCCATTCTTAAATTTTTAAAATCTTCTCTTTTTTTCAAAACCTTCTTGTTTCAAACTTCAAACCATTTTCAAAATAAACTTTGACTTTGTCAAGTGATTTTCAAAACTCTTTTCTCAATAAATGCTAAAACACTTAAGCATATCAAAAATCATTTTAAAAAAACTCTAAAAAACACAAACATCGTCAAATCAATTTTGTGCTCTTGCACTTCTTTTTTTTTCAAACCTTTTTGGAAAGATTAGACATAAATCATCTTCTTGTAGTGATGTAAATCTCTTGTTCCCATTGTATGATTGAGAGTTTGATTCATATTTTCCACTTGAATATTGAGACATGCTTGTTGGTTATATACAAGCTAAAATTATCCATAAAGATGATTCAAATATTCACTTTCTCATACTTGTGGGTGATAAGTTGAGTTTTCTACTAGAAAATGACGAAATGTATTTTCATTAAAATCAATCAAACAAACACCTTTTTGTTCTTTTCTACAAGAACTACGAGGTTCTAACTTCTTCATTGCACATGGATGGTACGTAGGCACGAGGCTCTCGAAGTCTCGGCAAACCAAAAATAATAAATAAAATACTTCTTTTCTCATCTCCCTAATCTTTTTGCAAATAACCATTTTAGCCTAATACAAATTTTCAACAGGTTCCTACGGAGTACCGTAGACGTGAGGGGTGTTAATATCTTCCCCTTTCATAACCAACCCCCGTACCTAGATCTTTCTTTTTTTGGGGTTTTATCAATATTTTATCATTCCTTTGGAAATAATAGATTTTGGTGGCGACTCTTGCTTATCATTTTTGCGAGTTAAGTTAGTAAACATCTTAATCTCAATTTTCTCGCAGTGACACCATCTGTGTGAGATGATTTTTCAAGATAAACCTGAAGCCATATGGGAAATTTCATAACACAAAGTGAGGTTAGTTGTTAGAGGATTTCTACATAAATCTGGTGTAGACTATTTTGAAGTGTTTGCTCTTGTAGCTAGACATGAAACAATCAGACTGGTTATTGTTATAGCTGCAAATAGAAATTGTCCTCTGATGTATTTAGATGTGAAATCAGATTTTCTAAATGGTCATTTACAAGAGGAAGTCTATGTGTCACAGCCTCCTGGATTTGTGATAGAGAACAAAGAAGAGATGGTGTATAGGTTGCATAAAGTTTTGTACGGACTTAAATAAGCGCCAACAACTTGGAATCTAGAAATTGATTCATTTTTCAAGCATTATGGATTCAGAAAAAATGAAATGAAGTGTGGTTTATATGTGCAACATATCTTTGATAGCAATGTGATTCTAGTGTGTCCTTATGTTGATCACATATTACTGACGGGGACTGTACTTCTGAGATGAATAAGTTCAAGAAGGTGTTGATGAATGCATTTGAGATGACTGACCATGAAATATGGTATATTTTCTAAGGATGAAGATTGTGCAGTATGAAAAGGGAATCATTATACATCAGTTTGAGTATGAACTTGAGTTGGTGAAGAGGTTTGATCTGATGAACAGTAAGTATGTAGTTACACATGCATAAAAAAACACAAACTAGACTCTGATCTAGATGGTGATGATGTAGATGCTATAACTTTTAAATAGTTGGTAGGCTCGCTGAGATATCTATGCAATACTATGCCTGACATTTGTTAAGTAGTTGGAATGGTTAGTAGGTTTAAGAGTAAACCAAAATGGTCACATTACCAAGATGTTTCCATGATACTAAGATATACGAAAGGAACTCTGAAGCATTGCATTTTGGTTCCATCTGGAGGGTTAGATATTGTTGAACTGATATGCTACTCAGACTCTGACGGGTGTGAAGACAGAGTTGATAGAAGAAGCCCTACATGTTACATATTTATATATCTAGGTACTCCAATTTTTTTGTGTTCCAAGAAATAACCAGTGGTTTGTATTGTCAACTTGTGAAGCTGAATATATAATTGGTGTTGTGTCA